AATTGAATTTATTTTTACTTATTTATTTATTAACATTATATATTATAAAGATTTTTTATAAATGAAATATCTATGTTAAACTTTTAAGGCTGTTAAATCCGCTGTGCCCTGCCTATCTCAAAATAAAGAGACAATCAAATGCATTAATTTACCGCCGACATTAAACTAACATAGTTCTATTAAGTAATGTTAAATTACAGTGTAATGAAACTTAATGCTAATTGATAATATCACATTGACGTCATTTTCTTTAGGTAAGTCATCAAAAGTGTAAAAAAGCATGAGACTTTAGGAATTAGTAGGGCATAACGACTTTGGCCCTCCAACTGGAGCGCCTATCTGCGTAACTAACCTATTCCTCACAGGAAAAAATGGTGAAATAACACTACCTTTTAGTGGTTGTTCTGTTTCTCATGTACTAAAGTAGTGATGCGTAACTCATTTTATTTTATGGAGGACCAGGAAGGTTGCTCATTTTCCCTCATGGGGTACTCGCGAGGTTGAGGTGTGGTGAGGCTGAGCGCGCAAATTACAAAATAATATTCGGGTCTGTACATAATCGAAAATGACTGAAATCATATGAAATAAATACGATTTGAATTTTATGTCTAGCAAGTCAACGCTGCCAATCTCACTTCAAAGGTATTATTAATATTATACCTTTGAAGTGCGTCCAAGCATCAGTGAGTAATTATAAGTAAACTGTGCTCGCGTCTCGCCTTCGACGATAATGAGGAGGTAAATGAGGTGGTTCAAAGTTGAAATGTGAGTCCCTCATTCTGTCGTGCCGAGGAACTCAAATGAAGCGCCTCACGAGGGAGGGACTCATCACTATCCTCAAGTCAACATATACAAGATCTATATATATATATAGGTGTAGCGTAGTATAGTAAGAGTATTTGTCTGTAAGTTATGGTGGTAACTTACCATCAAGTGATTGATTCATTTATTTGCCACCTTTTTTGTATAAAAAAACGCAATAATTATGATTAGTAGTGATAGTTATGAGCTTGAGTAGACCCATAAATACAAGTATTGACATGTCATTTAAAAGTTTATAACGTTATATAGCTACACAACCCATTCTTGCTAGATGTGCATAAATATTCCTTTAGCGTAATATTCTCAACGACCGATGCCAAATTTGTCATTGGCTGGGTTTAAGATGTTGTTAGGAAACAATTGTGAATAGAAAAGTTTCTGAATAATGGCCTGCGTAGACGAGGGACTTTCGTCTGCGGACTTTTCTGCCCACCAAAATATATGTTACTGCATTGAGTAACGCACACGAGGAATTAAAAGTCCCACGTACTCGAGGGAGTCCCTGAAAAATAGAACTCATATGACTAGGTGCAGCATTGCACACAGCGAACTTCAGTCCGCATTGAGTTTTCGATCCGATTTAAAGCGATGGAACCGAATCTCTTCTAAACGCCTCCTTTTCTTAAACTTCATGTTAATTACAACCCAACGTAATCTGAGAATGATTACTTCCATAGCGTAGGCTTTTCTAAATTTTCGGGCGAAAAATGTTTGCATATCCTGTGTGTTGAGTCCGTGACAAGTCCTCGGCGGTAATTCGTCTGCGCTGGCCATAATAAAACTAATTGGAATATTCCGCTGATGACTTTAACTATCTTCACGGGGAAGCCTTCTCATTGTATATTTCTCTGTCGTCCACGTGCAGTAAAAGATTACCATGTTGACCAAACAGTTCTGTTCTGTAAAACCTTTTTTCAGTACAAACATCTGTTTTATACTAGTATTTGAAGCAAAAGAAACATGCAAAACATTAAAATTGTCTAATAAACATGCCAAAAGTGATATTTCATTAACGCCCACCTGTCGTCTGGATTTAATCACCAACATTATTTTCAAGTGTCAACTGCAGTGCCGGATTGAGGATGTAGGTATACAACTATGTACTTATCTAGAACTGAATTGATAATGAAATTACCTTTATACTTTATATAAAACAAAATAACAGGACTCCACGGGTTTAAACAATTAGGTCAGGGGCTCAACTCGAGTACGAACTTCGTCAGTGCCGTAATCGTATCGCATCGTCAAATATTCTATGGAAACTAAGCAGCGCCCCTACCGGGTATAAGAATAAAGTGGTTCTTTCCATAAAAAAATTACGATTACGATACGATTACGGATCTGCTTAACTTTATCTGCTACTAGACTTCACAAAATCAATAATTCATTTAAAGGTTCTTTGTGTTCGCTTATACAATAAAGTCCCAAGCAATATCCAAGAGTTAACCATAAATAAATTCAAAGATAGTATAAAAAGAAACACTAATTAAAAAAGCCTACTACAAAGAGTCTGATTACATTTCAGACAAAAATGCTTGGGTTTGAACTGTTCCAATCATTCCAACAGGTTTTCTATATTAAATAAATCATGATTGTATTGACGTTGTAACAACATAATGATTTTTAAATGTTGTTACATTAAACTTTTAATGTTGTGCAGTTTTTTTCGCTCATTTTTCTCCGCAGCTTAAAAATATGTCCAATAACGAGTAGGGAAACAAAATTTGGACGATTCAAAAGAGTTATACTATACATCCAATTTGAATAAAGATATATTGATTTCTGATTTCTTTTAAAGTTCGTGTTTGGCGCTCAGCATATCCATTCTGTAAGATACATTCCCACGTAATTTTGAAAGTTATTCAATGCCGATATTTAATGAGAGACTTTTACCCGATGCATATAGCAACACGGAAGGAAGTCATAGCGATATAATAATACTATTCAAATCATACTGCTATTTTTGCGGGGAGGAATATGCAGACAAATGCAGTGTATCAGGTAACATCCGTAAAAACAAAACTGTAATTACGACACTCGCATAAAAACAATGACAAACAATCCATCAAATCCTGCACGCATAATATCAGAACGCAACGTGAGTAAATAAGCCCAATTTGACAGAGGGGACAACTATGTATGCCTACTCCCCTTCTGGCTAGTCGACCGTGTTGCTCTATGTTGTTCAGAATGAGCTTCCTTTTGTGCCCAAACCTTTTTTTAGTGTGTATGCTGTTGGTCGCACGTGACCTTTACAGCGTCACCGGGTTTGGGGATGGCGAGATCCTTAGGGGACTTCAAGCCGAGAATTGCCGAGTACCTCTAGAGGTATTCCAGGCGGATGGCATCTCCCCACGGGGGGAGTCTCCTCTCCGTCTGGAGCCTCTAGACCACTTTAACCTGAGGGGTGTGCCCAATCCTGCTGTTTCCCCCTTTTGTTATATGCATCACTTAAATGCACTATGCTATCAGCACCATTTCAAAAAGTTTGTCAAGACCATATACCCTTTGCCAATTGGTTGCTTTTACCAATATAGAATTCGAATAGTTGAATGCGATCTCGATCGCGTCAAATGTCAAGAAGTTTTGTATGGAATTATGAACAGCGTTATAACGGACATAACGAGAATTAAAAAACTTTTAATATTTGACGCGTATCGAGATCGAATTCAAGTATGCGAATTGGTTGATCAAAGATCCCATGTTTGTAATAACTCTATTGATTCCTGCCATTGTGTCACTTTGAATTTAACAGGTAATAAGCAAAATATCAACTCGCCACTGGTATCAGGCTGAAATCGAAACGCAATCTGGGCGAAATATCTCGCTTTTCGCAATCCGGGCGAATTAAATCTTGATAACCGGGACGAGCTGAATATTGTCTAAAGTAAAATTTTACTGAGTTTCAAAATGTCTGAAACCGCCACACATCACGTAACGCTTACAGGCCATTCAAATGTCAATGGCTACGTGATAAACTGATACGAGGTCATTACTCTCAGCATAAAGCAAGCTACACGAGAAAGCCCTAGGCTCATGAAGCCTACTCTGATTTTTTTTATCTAGCACTGGTCAGCTGTCAATTGTTTATCAGATTTTTGCTTGCAACTTGTAATTTTAGTAGCTTTAAATGACAATCCTACTTATATTATTAGTGTAAAAGTTCCTAAGTTTGTGTGTTTGTATGTTTGTTACCCAATCGCACAAAATGGCTGGACGATTTGGACGAAATTTGGCACACAGAGTTTATTACCTGAATTGAGATTTCTGGGGGATTCTCAAAAAACTAAAGTTAAAGCGGACGAAGTCGCAGGCGGCTGCTAGTTTTAAAAATATAATTTTATATTATATAGTTAAACTAACTGTATGTTCATTATATACTCACGGTACGGGTATATCGAAATATTTAGTTCTTGTCCTTTATTACATAACCGACGTCCAATTTTTCGCGATTTAGTCAAAGTACAAGTATACGAGAAGGTTAAATTTGGACTTAATGATAAAATATCTGTGATATACGTATTTAATTATAACGACCTACACATTAATAAAACAAAGAGCGTATAGACACAGACAACGACAAGATTCTGTAATAAAACAACGGCGGAGAACAAAAACAAACACTTGATTGAATGAAAGAGATTTCGTCGTTGAACAAATTTCTATATCGGGATCAGAATCTACGACCTTTTGTTCCACACAGTCAGGGCCACTCATAGAAGTCTAGACGTCAACGAAAAAGTACATAGATTACAGGTAATGCTTAAATGCACCGCCCGCCATTATTTTAACAAAATATCTTTCAAGTAATTTCATTTGACAGTTGTTCTACCTCACAACTTAATTTACGATCAAAAGGAACTGGAAAAGAATATTTTAATTATGCTAATAAAATTGTAATAACGCATCGCTAATGTAAATAAGAACGTATAAAGCAGTGAATAACAAAAATATCTATAATCTATGACATAAAATCTTTTCAAACTTTTACAAAATCAGTTCGATTTTCAAAGTGCATCCTCCATTCTTCATCCCTGTTGCGTTCCGGCGGATATTCGCCCATCTCCCAATTAAAAATTACACCAGTGCACTTGTTGACCGGCTAATTGTTTCCAATTACTACTTCGAGCGGGGTGCTACATATATAAGGGGGCGAGCTGTGATCAATCGGCATTCCGACTCCGAAGTTAGTTGCGATCACACGTCGTCGCTTAGGCGAAAATTTCTAGGCGAGTACTGGATATTCAGCAGCGCCTTAGTTAGTTCGTTTGAGATCTCCGTAAACTTAGTATAAAACACAGTAATCATGCAGTCAATGGTGAGTAGTGTTTTTTTTATTGGTAAAAAAGGTTTTAGCATTAAACTTACTTTTCGGCCTATCGAAATAGTTTTTTTTAAACAGATTATGTCAGTCAGTTTCTGTAGCATACTAACCACATGGGTAAAACTTTATCGAAGCAGTGGAATAACAGTTGTCTGTGCATTAATACAGACACATTAAAAAGGTCCCATAGTTTAAATTTTGTTTCTCATAACGCATTCTCATTTTATTCTTTTCATGCATATTTTGATATGTAATGTAACTTAATATGGTAATCTCTTGCATTTCATGTCAAGGATCTTTCTCAAACAATGTATCCGATTAACAATATCTGCATCCGGTTTCGCCTACGTTAGTGCACCTACTTATTGAATTTTCATAAGCTAAGATCATAAACAAAGATGTCGAGAGAGTAATTGTTTCGCGCCTAAACAAGTGTCAATGGCGCTATCTGCCTGGGCGGGCGAGAATTTACGCGCGCTTCTCCGCGCATTCCAGTAGGCGAAGGCGAAAAATACTTTTATATACTATTTGAGTCACATTTAAGTTATACTTATAACTTTTTAATATCGACATGTAAATGTGACTTACGTTTGAACAATTTTGTTTATATTTTGTTGTTTGAGTATGTTGTTATGGCTTATTATGGTTTTGTTGTGAATTTTCATTTTAAATCGAATAATGTAAAGTTGAAAAAGATGCATTTGAATGGATTTAGTGTAATTTGTTATTTTTATTAATAAATGTACTGTCGTTATCAAAACTGGACCTAGCCCCAAAACTTTCAGCGCTCGCAGAAAATTGTGTTTAGCAAAATTAAAAAAGGGTTATAATGCAGGTTGTAGGAAGTAAAATGTAGAACTTATAACCTCATTTTAAGAATAGTTTCATTTGCAACCAACTAATTTCGCTAGTTTTCCTATTAGATACGAAAATTAATCTATAATAACAAAAACAGTTATGAAAAAGATAAAACTGATAAGTGTCTACAAAAAGTCAACCGTAAGATTACGTCTATTACAGTGAAAATATAGTTGGGTTTAAAGTTATAGGTTACAGGTCAAGCGTGACCAACTAGATTTCCATTTCCAAAGTAATATTTTTATGACCTTCGCACAACCATAACACTTCCTAACGCCTACTAGGAACTTGGGCAACCAAATTGCAATACTGGTTGTGCACCAGTTAGTCGAATGATAATTCCGATCTATTGCAAAAGCCATTTTGCAACAGAATGCATACGCCCACAAATTACAGTGCACCGCTTTGTCTGACGTCCTTTTATTTTCCTGGATTTAAATTGACATAGCTATAGCTTTGAACGATCGCGGCAAATGATACGGATTCGCGCGAAACGAATTTAGTTACAGAAACAACTCCTTACATTAGAAAATATATTATTTTATTATAAGTGCATTATTGCGTTTACGTCACACCTATACAACTGATTCTTTTCTTGAATTTATTCAATAAGTTATCAATAACTTCGTGTTTTTAAAATAGTCAACAAAAATATACAACTTTTTTTTAGTCTAATAATGTGGTTAATGCAGTAATTCGTTTACCCATAAACCAAATTACAGTGCCAATATATAGCGAGCGAATTCAGAGCAAACAGTTCATGGGTTTGGCGATATATCATTGCTTAACTGTCGATTGTTTATAAAATGACATGAGTTATTTACTCTAAAGCGCAGATCAATTGTCCGTCTAGTTTGAGTTGCATTTGAGTAGTTATATTGGGTCGATTTAGTCTTTGAGTTTCTAGTTAAGTGTGTTTGCATTACCAAATATCAGTATAAGGAGTCCCTATTTTATTCGTACCGCAAACTGAGATAAGATGAAATCAATTTCAATGATGAACAGTTTTTGTGACTGACTTAAAAAGTAATTACTCGATGCAAAAAATTGTAACAGGTGCAAACTTATATGAGCTCCTTTGTTTGGGACAAAAATAAATTAGGTGGAATATCAAAGTCATTGTTCACCGTTTAGTTAATAGCGTATTTATTTGACGCACCTGTATTATTACATAATGGCAATTTGGAATTTAAATTGAAACGGGTACTATTATTCGAGTTACTCATGCACAAGTATGAGTAACATAGCTAATGCCATAATTACTCTATTCGTTTATATCTTGAGAAATAGTTTGGTGATCTACAAAAGCATTCGTTCGTTTACATTAGGACGCTAAAATACGGTTTAAATGCTAATAGAACGTGGTCTGATTAGTTATTTAACTATGGGCACATTAAAGAAGTCTTTAACTGAATAATTTAGCTAATAGAAGCCTATCAGTTAATAGTTTTTAGTACTTTTATGATAATCAAAATAGAAAAAAAGATTATTGATGTGGAACTTCTTTACGCACGCTTGACTTGGGGGTAAACTGGCGAATGCGTTACGCGTTACGAAAAGCGAGTAGAAAAAGGTGAGTGGGGGATATAAGCAAGAAAAAGCAGTGCGCGCGCACATTTTCTTTCTCTCTTTCTCTTATAGATAGTAAATGTATATGTACATACATGTATATATTGTAAACACACACACATATATATACATACAGATGGAGCTAAAGAACTTCAGTCGTGTGGTCATAAGAAAACTCGTTTTTTTTTAAATGTATCTTTTATCGGTATGGTTGACAAGATTACGCAGTTTCAGTATACGAAGCTAGTATGTCATAGCATATTTACAATGGTAAATCATAGCCGGCGTTGAGGTATTGTGTGTCAATAACCAATTTCGCCTATAGATTAGATACGCCTATTCACTTGTAGTACAAGCATAAAATATTAATCGTCTTATTTTAACGTAAAACACGCTAAGACTTGACGTTAATTATTACATTTAAACCTGCAAGATAAGGAAAGAACGTTATATTAATATCTTATTTGATTTTAAATAAATCAATAGATATTTCCAACACTCTCACAAATCAGCCTTGCCCTAAAGTAAGCACTGTGGCTTGTGTTATGGGATAATAGGGTAAAATTTGCCTGTAACGGGATTCGAACCCAGGCCTCACGAGTAGGCGACACCTTGAAACCCGGCCTACAAACCACTCGGTCATGGAGATCGTCGGAAGTTTTATTTGAAACTACGACTGACAATGACAAATCTGCTAGTAAAAAAGAAAATAACATCTTCATTTTGTTTATATGTATATCGTCTTAGAAATCAATGTACTTAGGTAGGTATGTCTAAAGATTTTCCTTTCAAGATCCGTTTCCTATATCAGTTACTTCCCTGTTGACGTAAACAATGAAGAACGAAAGAATACTATGATGTTATTCTTAACAATCGAAGTGAGTGTTGTGACCTTTCAGATGTTCAACAAAACAATACTCGGATATAGGGATATCGAAATTGTGTTGGTACCTGCGTTACACGCATTTTTGAATAAGTAAGTTTCTACTTAATTGAATTACCATGAAAACAAAATAAGTTATTCGAGACTATTTTATAGAAGTAAAGTAAGGATTTGAAACAAGATTAAAATATTATTTTATAAATATATCAACTTTCTTATTTTCTTATTTATTAGTTGTCTATTTTAGCTTTTGAAAGAGAAACTTTTATTTCTTGACTATGCCTCACTCAATAAACAATAATAAAACAAAAATATTTTGAAATTAGAACGCTTTAAGCCGTTCAAAGCTTTCATAACATTTCCTTCCCGCGCATTCGGTGTCACTAAGTAGTTTATCTTACCGATTGTCGTCTAAGGTTTTAATAAATTTCCGCGTCTGAAGTAAGGATTTATGTTGCTACCGTGCACTTATTTCCTAGACCAGTTGCTGTATCTGGCATCTGCACTGCTGGTGCGTGCAACTATGCCTCGCCCTAACCGCTTAACGTAACTCTTTAGTTAATTTCAACTGGCTGGTTGCATTCAAATGAGTGCAAAATACATTCATAATTTAATTAGTTAAGAGCTTTTTTAGTGGTGATAGAGAGTTGATGAGATATTTGTCGAATACCCGATAAATTATTCAGTCGAAATTATCAATAGAAAATTTTCAACTATATAGTAAATTAAAACACTATTGAAAACTGTGTCTTGCAGTTGTAAATCTAAATCGAAATAACTAAACTAAATTTAGCATAACCTCTAAATATTTTTTAAACTACGAATTATGAATATAACAAATTGTTCTAAAAAGGAACACAAGTTTCTAAGTGTAACAAAGGTTGAGACATTTTCAGAATTTCTGCAAGTTACGGACATAACATTGCATCAGTGTTTTTAAACGGAGTTCACACGAATTGTTGCCAAAACAACATAGAGTTAAATGACATTATAACACATGTGTCGTGAGAACTGAATGGGCTTTATTAAATCACTAGTTCAAATATGAAATTAGTGCAATCAAAGTTAGATATGGATCCATTATTCATGTATTCCATGCATATTGTTGTATGACTAGTGCGGCATTGTTTGCTGTCGTGTTAAATTTTTGACACATTTTTTTAATGTTCAGATTTTTAGTGCAAAAATGTTCGTTACGAATTAATATCACAAGCACATGCAACAGTTTAAAATCAAAATAGGCACTGTTTAAAGCACTAAAATATTTCAAAATCAATTACACTACACTAAAATGTGAAATCGCTGAAGCGTAAAATGTTTTAATAGGTTACGTGACCTTTAGAAGTTTGCTACTAGAATCACAGTGAACATTTATTATACATGAAAAAAGTACACGACTTAATATTAAATTACTATCAAAATTAGTTGTTCTGCAGTACAAGAAATTTCAATAAAGAACAAGAAAGCCATTGTTTTGATACCGATCAAACCTCCTTTCAAAAACATCGCGTGAACTTTAAATAAAGAACATAGAACTTTTGTCTTAATTAGCTTGGCTATTTTTAAATCGTTGATTGCATTAGGATTAGGTACTTTTCCAATCTACGTAACTTTTTTACAGAAACTAAAAATAAACTCATTATAATTTTATGGTCAAAATTCATTTGGCTGGTTACATAAAATAGAAAAACGACCATTTGTTTAGAGTTTAGGTTACGCGAGACCATGCAATCATGGTTTCGCTCCATTAATTTGAAGGCCAATGTCAGGAAAGTTCTCGTTTTCTTTGACATTGTCTTCGTTATGATTGATTTGTGATTTTATCATGTTATCTAAAAATCATTACTAGTTGTATAATAAATAACCCGGTAATGTTTCTAGATTTAATACTTACATGATAGGATAGGTCAAATTGTAGACTCTATTTTACTGATGAAAAGCAAATCAGATAATTTTTAATGGATTTCAGTTTGAATTAAACAACAGTCGATTGGTGTAAATGTAGATTGGTGATCCCACTGTAAAGAGCGCAGGTGTTCCTGATTTAAAGTTGTTTATGAACATGTAGTAACAAAATCTGGTATCAATTGTCCGAAAAAAAATAGATACAATGTTTGAAATTTGAAAACTGGCATGTGGAGTAAACAGATTTGTTTTTTTATTCACAGATTATCCTCGCCGTTTCCCTCTGCTTGGCCCAGGCCTCGCTATACCCCGGACCCCCCGCACACATCCAGCTGAGCTCGGACGGCAAATACCTGTTGGACACGCCCGAGGTTGCTCACGCTAAGGCTGCCCATTTGGCCGCTCACGCGCAGGCTTCGACTGTTCATGGAGCGTGGGCGCCCGCTGCTGGTGCTGGGTACTCGGGTGGTCCTGGTGGATACGCCGCTGGACACTACGGCGCACCTGCTGCTGGTGTGTAGAAATAACGAATCGTTTTGACAATCAGACATATCTTATGGTTCCTCACAATGGCCCATAATGGGCGATTATCGAGACGCACGATTGTGTAGCCTTTTTTAATCTCTCATCATGCGACATTGTGAAGAGGAGTCATTAAAAGCGGAGAAGTGACACTGATGTCCCAATGATAGATAGACTTATTTCAAAAACGAATTGCGTATTGTTTGAAAAAAATGCTTTTTCTTTCTTGTGCTCCCTCTCTTAAGTGTTCACTTGTTGATAAGGGTGTTCCACGGGTAATTTCACGTCTCTTTCTTTTAATAAATACTTACTAATAAGGGTGTTCTACTAAAATGATATGGCAATAAACATACAACATTGACTTATATGACGAGTAGCATTGTACAATTACAAATATCCTTTATTTAAGGCAAACTATTAATTGAGGGGCTCGATGGCGCAAATGGTAAGCGCGTTCGGATGCGTTTGAAGTTAAGCAACTTTCGCAGTATTTGGTCATTGGATGGGTGACCAAAAATTTATTATCTCTAGTGCCTCCGTGCTTCGGAAGGCACGTTAAATCGTTGGTCCCGGCTGCATGTGCAGCCGTTAGCACCCACCAATTCGCACTGGGTCATTATCCAATATCCCTATTCCATTCGTAGGGAAAGCCTGTGACCAGCAGTGGGGACATTAATAGGCAGCAATTAATAAAATACAATGATTAATCTTGAAGCGACATTAACCAGAAATAAATTTCCAGGTCTTATCAAATACGGCCCCGCGCCCCTCGCTCACGACGGCCGCGTGGTCGACACCCCCGAGGTAGCGCACCTGAAGGCCGCGCACGCCGCCGCTCACGCTAACGCCGCTCACGGTGCGATCGCTCACGGAGCCCCAGGATTCGGACACGGTGCCATCGGATACGGCGCTCCCCAGGCTTACGCCGCCGCTCCCATCGCTCACGGCGCTGGATACGCTTCCGGCTACGGAAAATGGAATGGCCCTGCGGTAATTGCTTAAATTCATTAGTTTTTTTGCTTTACTTCAGATTAAGTGGTTAGCTCCCTTTTCCATCCATAGGAATAGGCCTGTGCCTCAGCTGTGATGACATTAATAGGCTGATGATGAAAGTGTGTCAGAACTAGTAAGAGAACATATTTTTTCCAAAAGTATTTTGAAACAATACGGTTACGTTGAGCTTTGATGAGAAGATTATGGACGCTTGCAAAGTCAAGAAATAAGTGTCTGTTTACAAAATATATAGCACTTTAGAGTTAATATTAAATTAGGTTTTGGTCTTTTGGCGATAAAGGAGCTGATTACAGATTCGAGTGAGAATTTCATATCGCTCTACTGCTCCTCCTAAAACAATTATTTTTTTCAAATCAAAGATACTTATTATGTTTTTGATGCTTTAACATGTTTATGTTCCATTGAAGAATATTGAGAAATACAAGGAGATGCAATATAGAAATCAATTGTCTCTAGAATATATCCGTTAAATAGGAATAAGAATATCTATACATAACTTTAACCATTTTGTATCAGGTTTACTCAGTCATGTTTCCATCAACAGGCTCACATCCAGCTGACGCACGACGGCCAATACGTAGTTGACACACCCGAGGTGCAGCACGCTCGCGCCGCTCACCTCGCTCAGTACGCTCACGCCGCTCACGCCGCTGCCTCCGCGCCCGAAGAGCCCTGGGGCCAACAAAGCTATGGCTGGCACTAAACATCTACCTCTGACCTGCACGCAAAACGGACTGCTTTTTATACAAAATGTACATAAAAATTGTAAAAAAAAATGATAAGATTGTATAAAGATGAATGATGACTGTGTTTTTTATAAGCAAACTGCAAACTCTTGTAGAGCGAATATGAAAATGTAAATAAACATTTTATAAAAAAATCAAATTTTCTGAATTTCTTAACCTACACCATAAAAGAAATATTAATCATCTTGCTTTAAAACGGTCGAATGGATTTGCATGGCATTCTACAAACAGATAATTTAAGTATTACCTAATAGATGATGTATTGAGACACTTTAGATAATAAAAACAAATATTAGCCTGACCACATATTATACGAAATTTTCTGTCCTAAAACTTCTGACGCCCGCCGGAAGGCGTTAAAACCTTGCATTAAAACACAACAAACTAAATAAATAGATTGAAGTATGTTCTGGAATTTATATTCCTAGTAGGTAGCTAAAGCCACGTATAGTGAAGATTAGTAAGGCACTAATCTTTGGGGTATGTGGCACCCTTTATACGTTAATGTTTCAATAAACTCGAGACTGGCAGAACGAGTGCTGTCCTCTGTCAGGCCCATGACGATGTAAAGTTTACGATGTAAAGTGTAACATCGTGAGGTAGCTTTGTAAGGCTGAGCCATAACTTAAGGTGATTAAAATTTAAGACCGAATTTTAAATTCTCTGAAAAGGAACAATGTTTGTAGACATAAAAGCTGATCCCTTCAAATAAGCATTCAATAAGCAACAGTAACCTTTGCATGAACCAATATCGATCAATTTTAATACTATTAAATCGAATCGAATTCTACTAGTAGAATTCGATCTAGATACGCGTCAACTTAATGGAGCAAGGAAATTAAAAGGAATTTTGTATGGATGATTTTTAATATTCGTTACGTCCGTTGCGGCGCTGTTCAAATTTTTATACAAAACTTATTGACATTTTACGGGTATCGAGATGATAATAATTCCAATTCGATATTGGTTCGTGCTAACAGTGCCAGTAGTACAAGATATACAGTATATTATCGACCTACCCACTTGGGTATTGTAGAAGAGTTTTGTTCAATAAAAACTTTTGTTATTATTATGGTAGAGGAACTCAAGTGTTGGTATTTGGTTATTCTCGAGAGCGGCAGAATAACATGGGGCTAGCTTGCACCTTTGTTAATTACTCCCAACATACCTGAGTCCTCTATATTGGACCGAACGTCTAGGGCAGCAAATAATTTTTCGACAAACGAACATTACTTTTGGTCGCGTCCAAATCGTCAATATTTTGAATAGGAGCTACTGGAAGGTTCACCTAATATCCCTTCTATGACGACGTATGACGTTTTTTTTCCTATTATATTGTGTACACACCATGCAAAGCAGAAGATTAAATTTTTTTCCATCCTCAGAACCGTTATGTGAACCCTCCAGAAGCCCCTATTCAAAATATTGACGATTTGGAAGCGACCAAAAGTTATGGCCGCTTGTTGAAGTTTTTTTTGCTGCCCTAGACGATCGGCGCTACATGGAGGGCTCGGTTACAGTGGGAATTCTTAACAAGGGGCAAGGTTTATTTAGTTATTCTGCCGCGCTCGAGTAAATCCAGAAATCCCCGCTTGGGCTCTCCTACTATTATTACAACAGTCAATGTAACCAAAATAAATACTAGTAGTATAAATTGAACGATTCAGAATTAGCTCAATCATGATTTATAATTTTGGAATCAATTCATATTACCTACTTTTGATTATAATATGTCCCTCTCCTATATGTATATCTAATTTTATTACGAATACGACGAATAACGAAGTGAGAACGTTAACAGCAATCAGGTCCATTTTAATATTTGCCAACATAAACAACAAAGGCAATAATGTCTTTGCTTTATAAACATCTTCAGGAAAAATATTCTTTGTCTCTAAGGTAGCTGAATTCAGCCATCACAAGGTTAAAGTGACCAAATTCACTGTTATCAGTCATTAGTTACAGGAAGCAGTAGAGCATTAACTCAGTATAGTTTGTCTATAAAGTCGTGACATGAATGTTTGAGGAACTAACATTATTCATGTGTCTGGCAACACCAAACTTATGTACATCAGCTGTCATCGAGTTTCAGTTGTGGAACAGTTTTCCTTTTGTATTTGTTATTGTTTGGATTAAACTGTAATAAATTAAGACGAAACTACGCAGAAAGGTATAAAAATGAGTAAAGTAAATCGGAGTGGCACGCGGGAAGTGATTTTTAAAGTTTTCCAGCGATGTTTCGAAGACTACCAATTTGAGAATTTTGTGGGATTTGGATGATGTTTATGGGCGAACAGCATCTATGACGGGTATTTAATCGTGTAACTATTTGTTGGTAATCTGCCTGAAGTTACAAATTTACTCAATTTACGATTTTTAAGACCAAAAACGGCATTTTTTACATTGCACATTTTTAGGTTAGATTGACATTGTAAATAGGTAATATTGTAGTACGACCATTTCTATTGATACTTTATTATGGTTCAACTCGGTCAGGTTTTCTACCAATTTTGAATTAATTGCTTCATGTCAATAAGTTATTGTTTCTAGTCCGTTACATATTTTTTTACCTTTTTTCAGGAAAATCAGAGAGTCAGATAGTCAACGAGGGTTTTAAGAATGATGGAAAGTTTGAAACTCCTGGGAAAACAGGCAAGGCCGACCAAAGAAAGAAATTGTCACATAAAGAACCATGGCCAGATGCTTTTAGTGAAGATACCTATCACTAATTTTACTAACTGCACATTTACAAATTGTTTCTCTAAATAAACTTTTTATATACTATAAAATGATTTTTAGTATTATTTTCTTAACAAGTGTGTTAAAAAACATCGTATGATGATACTTGTGTGTGTTGATGATTACCTAACGGCTCTGGTCTCAATGGCACCTCAGCGGTAATCACCAACATTACACACTTTTACACTATAAAGTACTATTTTATCTATAATAATTTTATTCCGATTCAATTAAATATGCTTGGCTTTACCTTTTGAAGCATAGGTACCTACTATATATAAAACAGAAACAAAATACGACTATATAGTGTGTCTTATTAATTACCTATTTTACTTGAATGAACTGCTAGTATCAAAATCATTTTGGTCCGACTGTATAGGCTTGCTACATGCATACTAGTGGCGCCATCATTTAATGTCACGACTTTATAGACAAACTGTATGTTTACACACATTTTAAAGAAGCAACGTAGTTTTGCGCGATAAAATGCCTTCCAAAATGAGTAAACCTACGTGGTCAAGTTTGCTTTATTTGCATGGATTTCATTAAAATTAAAGTTATAAATTTAGATTATTCAGTAGTAGAAGACTTAATGAAGCATACGAAGCTTAATTTTAACTTCCTATTCGAAGTCAGGATAAAATATGAGCGTCATATGAGGATATACAAAATTTTCGTGTTTTTTTTATTTACTTTACTACCAACAGCACTTTCAGAGTATCACAAAAAGAATATTAAGTATGATATATTATTATTTGTTTTAGGTCCCTAAACTTATTTCAAGGTCTCCGTTGCATATAAATTGGTTTATTGCAACTATTTATTAAGGTTCTACGTCAAAATTCTGGACAAATATTTCCCAGAATTTTAAGAGACTAAAAATTATAAGAAAAGCTAAAAATAAAAAAAATGGAATCTAAATCAATATCTTTTTTATATGCATAGACTTGGTTTTATTGTCTCAAGTAAATAATTCAGTCATAATTTTTTCGTATAAAACATGCGTCCATTTTGGACCTAGACGTACATATTTTGTACGTTTTTACCCATTTTTAAAATGTTATTTTTGCGTGCAACATTTCTTGTTTTTGCATGCAGTGGTAAATGTTCAGAGACGTAAACTGGAGACATTTTACCACCATAACCCAAGTGACTAGAGTTTAGTTTTTCCTTTTCGTTATTGTTCGTTATGTGAATAAAGAAAAAAAGTACGTGCCCAATTTATGTTGATAAAAGCCCATAGAGTTCTTTGTACCACGTTTTGATTTCTTATACCTAAAGAAACAATATTTTTATTTAAAAAAGTTTGCTTTTGTTGCTATCAGAATTAAATTTTAAATTGATTTCTTTTTTATTTAAATCGTTTATTGGTTTAATTTTTGTCTTTTGAATTACGGAACTCTATCAAATTTGGTCTCAGGCGATTAAGCTGATACGACAGCGCCTACAAATATGTCGAAGATGAAAACTTGCAATGAGAACAAAGGTGCCGCGTTATTGTTAGGCATTTTATTGAAAGCTGCATAACATGTTTTCCCATTTTTTGATTCATACTAGGAAAGAAGGGAAAAGGGGATCTAAATAATAGTATTTCCATTGAGATTATATATCTTTAGCTTAAAGGGTAGGTAAATAAGTAATACCTAGGTTTCGTCAGAGTCTAATTTCTGCCTAACTTAAAGGAGGCCTAAGTTTTTCTCGATTATCTTCACAATATTATGATTCAACCCCTGATATATTAAAATGTGTCGCATTCTGTTTCAAAGAATGAACGGGTGAGGAGGGTTCTCACAAATCCTTGCTTTGATACTGCCGAGGCGAGCATCCATCATGCTTGATGGCTTTCCTTGGCATGAAATAAAGAAATTTCTCATGATACAGTCATTTGTTTCTGATGAAAAAGGTTTCCTTGAGGAGCTCGAAGGTAGTCGGTTATTGGATGGGTGACCAAAACCTTATAAATATTTCGAATTTCTCCGTGCTTCGGAAGGCACATAAAACCGTTGGTTGCTAACGAAGCACCCACCAATCCGCACTGGGTCCACATGGTGGGTCATGACCCAATTTCCCTATTATATCCATAGGGAAGGCCTGTGGCCCAGCAGTGAGGACGTTAATAGGCTGGTGACGATGAAGTTCTTTCTTTTAGAGTAGTTGGCTGTACTGATTAGTCAGCCTCTTCGTATCCACATGTTCGATGCCTATCAAACTTAAACTACCTACCAAACAAAAAAGGTTCTATAGACCTATCATATGGATGATCGAAATCCCCTAACAAACCATTTCCATATAAGTTGTTGCTAAAGTCTATAAATTAATATTTTTTAAGGCTTACTTATTAACCA